TAATGCTATTCATGCAATTGTTTCAGGCCTGCAACTCACCAGCACAAGATCTCAAGTGACTCTTCTGCCATAAGAGGAAGGAGTTATTGCTGTACAGTCATAATGAGCAAGTTACAGCATTTCTCTGATGTCCAGTATGCTGTCCTATCATCCATGCATGGCTCTTTCAGATAGCCTTTTCTCTTGCAGCTATGCCACCAGAATCTCTGCATGTCAAGACTGAAGTGAAAATCTGGGCATGTCAAGACTGAAGTGAAAATCTATGCATGTCAGGACTGAAGTGAAAATCTGTGTATGTCAGATGTGAAGTGAAAATCTGTGTATGTCAGATGTGAAGTGAAAATCTATGCATGTGAAGACTGAAGTGAAAATCAGTGCATGTCAGAAGTGAAGTGAAAATCTGTGCATGTCAAGACTGAAGTGAAAATCTATGCATGTCAAGACTGAAGTGAAAATCTGTGCATGTCAAGACTAAAGTGAAAATCTATGCATGTCAAGACCTAAACATGACAGGAAGATACTATTACAGTATTACAGGAAGAAATGTTAGTTCGATGTGTGTGACCATGTCAGACTGATACTTATTTCTCCAACAAACGGCTTCTTTTACTTAAGGAACACATATTCATGATATCATCCGACTTTGTGTCTTGCTTGATGCCGTCAATATGCAACATCAGTTACTATTCGCTTGCTTTTCTTTAATGACACTACATGTTTCAGCCCAACCAGCCATCTTCAGGTGTACAGGTTATGATTGCAGAATCTGCTGCCCACTGTAATGCTGTTTTGTTTCTGTTATGTGGAGGCCTCGGATTGCATCTGGTTATGTGGGTTAGTCTTCTATTTTTTTATTTAGGTGTCCTTGAGCTGCTGGTGTTTCCTTTATGGTTTTGTATCTCTGTGGCTGTCTTGAATGTTCTTGCTGGGGTGGGAATTTGTTGTGTTGATGGCCAACCACAGCACAACAAATATGCCCAGCTCAAGGACACCTAAACAAAAAACAGATGGTTAACCCACCTAACCAGATGCAATCCAAGGCCTCTACATAACAGAAACAGAAAAGCATTACAGTGAGCAGAAGGTTCCTTGATCACAACAACCTGTATCCCTGAAGATGGTCAATTAGGCCGAAACATGTAGTGATGACAAAAAAAAAAGAAAACTGTGAGAGAATGTTAACTGATGTTGCACACAGACGGCATCAAAGCAAAATGCAAAGTCAGATCTAAGCAGTGCAACAGGATGCTGCAATATAACATTATGCCTGATATAAGTTTTTGTGTAAAATTCATTCATGGTCTTCTGGCTTATGACATGGTTACCAAAGTTTTCTGCCGGTCTGTTGAAGCCAGGAGCAGTATGTTCTCTGGTAACCATCTACCAGTCAACACAGTGTCTTAACTTAGGAGACCAGAATGAGATTTTTCACCGTTGTGAAAGATTAAAATCTGATACTGTGTAAATTTGTTTGTATATTCAAATCTGGTGGATACTGTAAGGAAGTAATCACTAAACCATAATAGTTCTGTTTTTCCTTATAAAGGGAAGAACTTGAGAGGTAAAGCTATCCCTATAACAGGCAATGGAGGCCCCTAGGGTTGTGAGACGTCGAGGCTCCCACATTTTCTCTAGGCAGTCGGCTCACAAATGGCGGGAAGGTTGTCAGCCATACATGCCGGCCACCCTTTACCCCCCCCCATAAGATTGCCAGTGCCAATTGCAGACACTGCACAGTGTAGATAGAAGTAACTGCATATGGACAAACACAACATAAAGTCACAAACTAATTAAATCTAATCACTGGAGCAAAGACACATTAATGCAATTAATGTAATTAATAATTCAATTCATTTCATGCTTATTTACATACAAACTTAACAACACAGAGGCCAGTTACAAAGTTAGTATGAGTACCTAGAAATACACAAAAATAATTAAAGAACAAAATATGACACTCCATACAAGGGCAATAAATTAATAATAATTACAAAAAAAAACTATAAAGTTAGCATTGACAGGAGAAAAAATTGAATATGTAAATTTCCAATGGTTATGCCATCTTGTGTAATAATAATAATAATAATAATAATTCAATTCATGTTTATTTACGTGCAAACGTAACAGCACAGAGGCGAGTTAAAAGGTTAGCAAGAGTACATAGAAATACACAAAAGTAATTAAAAAACAAAATACAAAATTTGAGAATCCATGTAATGGCAATAAATTGATAATAATTCCAAGAAAAATTAAAGTTAACAGGAGAGAAAAATAAAACAAGACCAATATACATACATACACAGGCTGCACCATAGCTTAAGCGGTTAGTCTCTCGCTTCCCACCGTGGCAGCCCGGGTTCAAACCAGGGTCTGGTCAAGTGGGATTTGTGGTGGTCAAAGTAGCGCTGGGGCAGGTTTTCTCCGAGTACTTTGGTTTCCCTGCCAATCTTCATTCTACCAAATTCTCCATCATCATAATCACCCAGGGCAGGCTACAATAGACCACTCAATGGCCGCTGTACCAAGTGGACCCAGTTGGACTCCCCCCCCCACTAAGTGAATTTAATTTAAATTTTACTTACATACACACATAATATTAGGAGTATTATCAAATATTATTAACAATTTTAGGTTCAATGTGATTAACAGAAACTGTTCCGATTGCAAATATGTCGAGATCTTTACCCACCATGTTGGCAAGATAGGCGCATCAAGCAGAAGGACAGTGTTTATTAGAGGGCCAAACACCAAACAATGAGAAGTCCGTAAGATTGCTGGGAGGAACACGAAGGCTCACATTTTCCGAAAGAAACGCAGGATTTAAGACAAAAGACCTGAACAAAAAAAAGTGCATCAAGGTGATGTCTCCATTTATGTAAAAAATGTAGACTTAATTTCTCTAAAGCATCAGTATAAGTATATGGAATATGAGGGAAAAAACGATAAAAACAGATGGACACAAACTTCTGCTGGATGTGCTCAAGCTTATTGGCATCAGTCAAGGTGATGGAGTTCCAAACTACCAAGGCATATTTCAACTTGGACCTGACTAAAGACACTCCAGGGAGGAAAATCTGTAGGTAATGGAGCAAATAAGGCCTTAAAGCTTTATGCATTCAGAAAATATGTAATTAACCTGTGTGTGAAAATGTAGCTTTGAATCAAAGAAAACACCCAGGTCATTAATACTGCTGGTGCGTGTAATGATAGCATGACAAAGCTGATATTCGTAGCTCAGAAAATTTAGCACTTTCTGTGACAGAACTGTGTCTATATTCCCATTGTTGTATGTTGCAGTTCTCGCAGGCAACACGCATTTTGATGGAGTGTGATATGGGAGTTCCATAATGAAACCTGTCTAAAGCAGTATATCAGCTTCCACTTTGGTTGGTCTAAATCACTTTCATGTATGTCTTACAGAAGTATTAGAAGTTACAAACGTTTGGTAAAGTTTCTGTGTATATGTAAAATGGACTCTGTATGGTTGCACCTTACCTCTCTTTTGCTAGTTTTTATCGAATAAAGTACAGCCAATGATATCTCTTTCCCAAAATTCATCCTGTAAACTGTGGCTCTCATATCTGCATACAGTTTCAGCATGTGACAATTTGGATTAATTGACCATGGGCTTTTCTAAACACCTGGTAACTTGTAAAACTGTTGTCTTCTTAGATGTGAGGCCATGTAGACTGGTAGACTGTTACCATCACTTTGGAGGAACATGTAAAGTGAGAAGACCCTGAAGATGGAGGCCTCACATTCCTCAGAAACGTTTGTAACATTCTACTAGACTACATGGTGTCACATCCCAGAAGACTGAAATCTTCGTGGTTACAGCCATATTCCTATGGAAGATTTTAGCCAAAGACTTGTTCGCTTAGAGAGTATACATTGCAATTGCACATACAGGGAATAGTTCACTTGCGGACTAAAATCACAGAGTTTTTTTTTTTATTTGACGTGGGAGTTAGGTGTAGGAACTGAGAACAAAGTTGCATGTTCTGCATTTGTCGATACTTCTCAATTGCGTGGTGACAGTGAGGAGGCTACGGCTGGTACTTGGAATGAAGAGTACAGCATTCTGAGTTGTAGCTACGTGTAGTTCAGAGAGGGCCCTGCGTTTTGGAGGTGACATATGCCTAAACATTGGGCCATCACCAAACTACACGTTGCTACAATGCAGGACCCTGAACTCCTTATAGACATTGCCATGAAAACATCAAATCAAACATGGTACTCAGAATGTCTGTATAAGATACGTAAGTTGCTGTTTGATTGCAGAGGTAATTGTAAGTATAAATTGGATAGGAACTGCTGCAGCTTTGGGAGTTGGCAGGGAGATGTTAAGACTTTTTTCTAATTGGTACCATTATAAATTTCTTGGCAGATAATTGCTCAATAATCTGACAAGCCATAGTGGACAATTTAGGCATCATATTGATGTAGAATTCTGTAATACAAGTTTATGGAAGTATGACTGCCATAACCTGGCTATGGTAAAGACAGATGGGTTGCAGCATAGTGAAAGCAATATGAATCACTTCGTTGAATTGTAATGTAATCCATAGAATGAATTGATTTGTTTCATTCTGGTCCATCACACTAACAATTACAAAGACAAAAACAATTCCGTCTAGTGTATCACTTGAAAACTCATCACCCTTACATGTTTCGATCAATACGGATCATCCTCAGAGGGCATCAGTACTTTTTCCGGAAGCTACTATCACAATAGGTGTTAAATTATATACATACACGTATAATGTCTGAAATACACAATGTACACAATGTTCAACTTTTCACAATCACAGCAGCCTTCCTGGTATTAAAGTTTGTAAAGTTTTCTTTAAAAACTTTGTTGTTTAAGATTAAAATTTATAAACCATGCAGGTTCATGTCAATTCTCCCATCGTCTTTCTTGGAGGTGGCTGATCTTGTGCCTCCTGTCTATCTTGAGAAAGGAGATTATTAGTATTGTCTGAGTTTGTTCGTGGCTTGCTGTGTTGTTTACACTCTTGTAAGGGTGATGAGTTTTCAAGTGATAAAACTTAAATAGTCACACTAGACAGAACTGTTTTTGTCTTTGTAATCCATAGAATGTTTGATAGTTTAGGGCTTACACTGTTGCAAGATATTTTACATTCACTGTATTCAAAAATTATATACACTGAAGCAAATATAAACATTCTGATTTATGTGAGGCTATTTTGAGCCTTCTGGGTAATTTATTTTAATAAATACTCTTCAGAGCCGATTATCTCTTTGCTTCATGTTTTAGGAAAACCTGTTACCTGTACACCCTAAGGATGTCTGTACAGATACAGATGACACATGTAAGAGGTAATAAGAATTTTACACACATTGTCAAGGGTTTTATTTGATAGATCCATACAGGTCAGTCAACTCCTCTGATGCAGGAGAGATTGATCCGCTACGAGCCTTGCATTGTCACAGGAAAATTGATATCAATATGGGCAGAACATTAATGTCCTGAACAGAATTTGAGGTCACCTGAGACTGTATGCATCTATGATAATGCAGCCAACTAGTTCAGCCTTCATCCTCGCCGATACATATTTCTGCTTTACAGCATGCTGTCAGGAATCACTTGAATTGAATGACCCCAACTGCATGCTGATGGCTTTAATACAACCAATAAAGAAATAAAAACAAATAAAGTTGTCCCTGTGCTTAGTACAGCACTGCACTCAGAATATGTACAGGGTGCAAATAAAATGAAGTATTTGAGAACCTACAAAACAACTTCTGCCAGAAGAGTCACATTGTAAATACAGTTAACAAATAATTTTAAAATATTTAAGAATTTGAATGTATTGGATGAATAACATTAAAAAAATAATTGGATTGGGAGTAAATTCTGGAAATTCTTGTCCTTTTTTAAAACCTATCTTGAATATTTCAGAACACCAAAACATTAAAATTCAGTAGCATGTTGAAAGAATACAGGTTGGTTGTGTTTATGAAGGTAAGTAAAAATGCTTTCACTTCGACGCATAAAAAGCTGCAGTCGCATTCCCTGTGATCATGAACATGGAACCTTCAGAAGGTAAGTTTGCTGCCCTGGCCCTGAGACCCACACATCTACTAGTTGAATTTGCCTATAAAATTACATGTGCAGTGAATTTACAAATATCCTCAGAGCCTTAATGTTTGAAGAGTCCACTTTATGATCAAAATAAACAGAATAAATCCCTACAAGACCAGTTGTGTTACACAACTTAATATGAATGGTTTGTATAAAGCTCAAGACTGCATGTACCAAACTGTTTAACCTGTACTGAATACAGCAGTCATGACGAGCATTGAATGGACGCTCCAGCATGACGAGCGTTAGCTCAGTGGTAAGGCTTGTATGCATGAGAACATGGGTTCAAGTCCATGTGGAATGGATCTAATAAAGTAACCAATCATCATAAAGGGGTGGGTCCAAGTTAATATGCATGAAATTAATACATAATGCACAATTTGCAGGTACAGTAAGAAATGCAAACGAAACCCTGTACTTTTTGTTCCAGTAACCTTCAACAACTTTCAAGAGCACAGCCCCAAGCATTCAGCCTGCGATTTGATAGTTTGGCTGCAGATGTAGCTGTATTTCCGAAGAAGGGGATGCAGTGGCCAGTCAGCATCAACGGTCAGAGCCAAGTTAATATACATGAATCTAGTGCTAATTGCAAGAAATGTAAACAAACCCCTGAACTGTCTAAACTCGTAACCTCGAAAGTACCTTCAAGAGTACATTTATAGCTACAGGATTGCTGAGGAGTGTTGCAGATGAACATTTATATGTTAGACAGAATATGAGGATAAACTCTGTTTCCATGATTCGCCATCTGTGCAAGCGAAGTGGTCAATCCTCGTTCAGTAAACTCTTTTAAATGATGCTGAAATGCCTGGTGTGGGGAAATCATTTATTCTGTATGTCTCCTGTGAGGCATCAGCTGACTGGTTGACCACAACCACCTTAATCCCAGGGGTAAAGCACCATTACCTTGTGCAGCACCCCCCCAGGTTCAATCATGTGGTTTCATACTCTACTTGGTATGGGGTCCGAAGCTTGCCTTCAGTGTAAAGCAGATGAACCAAGTGGATGAGAACTGACCAATTGGCTTGCAAAAATGGCTAATTAAAGAAACGAAGTTCATCTTCCTCATACACTGTCTGGGAGATAAATGTTCAACTGTGGCAGATGTTTAATTCTCATTAGAAAATTCACAGCTTTGGCTTGAAATGTGCTCTTGCAGGTTTTAGAGGTTATAAGATCAAAAAAATCAGGGTTATATATACATTTCTTATATCTTCAAAATATTTGCATTTAGCACTACATTCATGTATTTGTACATAGACTTGGCCCCTGACCATTGATGCTTATTGTCTACTGTAACTCATTTTTCGGAAATATGGCAACATTTGCAGCCAGATGCCCAGAGCTGCAACATGTCTTGTGTTCTTGAATGTCCTTGAAGATTATTACATCAAAAAATTACAGGTTTTGCTTACATTTCCTGCTGTACCCATAAGTACTTGCAACAGGCACAGAATTCATGTGGACTTATGTGCCCCCGCCCCTTAATGTTGGTTGGCTACACAGTCACAGTCACATGATGGAGGGGGGGGTTCTCCATTATAACTGTTTTTCCGCCCCTGGAGGCGTGGTTTCGTTTACTGAACCCATAAATTGTGCAGTAAGCACTTAAATGGCCACGCCCCTTAATGCTGATTGGCTATCATTACTCATGGTCTTGTAACTTCCGCATGTTCGTGTCCCTGCCGCGGTGCATCGGAAAGTAACCGGTATTTGTTTACATTTTGCCGCGGTGCATAGGAAAGTAGCGGGTTTTTGTTTACATTTTGCCGCGGTGCAACGGAAAGTACCCGGTGTTAACGAAAAGTTCCGGGGTTTGTTTACATTTCTTGCTGTATGCACAAAATCTGCAAAATTACTGCCCTGCTTCGGGTTTTCACAAAAACCAATCAGGTTTTCAGAAAAACCGTCCGGGTTTTCCAAGTAACCGGGTTTGTTTACATTTCTTGCTGTATGCACAAAACGTGCTCAAATACTGTCTTGCTCCGGGTTTTCCAAATAACCTCCGGGTTTTCAGAATAACCACCGGGTTTTCCAAATAACCGAAGACAATTAAAACGAAAAAGTACCGGGATTTTTAAATTTAATTCTCATTTGCGATCAATACTGTGCTCCTGAAGGTAGTGCAAGGTACCAGGTTTTCCTGATAACCGAAGGCCATTAAAACATAAAGTAGCGCGTTTTTTTAAATGTAATTCCTGATTGCAGAAATTTTGCTCAGCTTCGTCCATAAGTTGTGTAGTGTGGTGAAATATTAAAGAAAGAAATATATTGATGGGGCTGGAATACTGTAGGTGGTAAAGTGGTGCGTGTTTACTCATTACCCATATAAAACTGCCGTCATCCTTGTTAATAGCACCAGCAGCAGCAGCAGCAGCAGTAGTAGTAGTAGTAGTAGTAGCATTATTGCGAAATACTCATTCGTATGTCAGT